TGTATTTGTTGAACCGAAGACGGAAAATAGATGAAAAAAAAAACCATAAACCCCCTTAAAAGACAGATAGATGGTTGAGAAGTATGAACTTAGTTCCAAAGACATACTTCCAATATTCTCTTTTGACTTTCAATTAATCTTCAGGATTTCTGAGTGTTAATGGAATTCGTTGGTGGGTGGACACCCACATGACTTACTTGGTGCGTGATGAGTTGACTTGGTGTGTGATATCTTCTCTCTCTTTCCCCGTCCTCAGGTACAAACTGCACATTCACTTGACTTGGTCATTGGGCAAGTCAATATTACCAAGTCAATATTTTTTTAAATGAAAAACATCCAATTTCTCTTGGGAATTTTTTGTTCATTATTACGTGTTGGAGACGTAGACTCTTTCTTGTACGATGACACTGATTGGTAAACCAACGCCGACCAGTTTAAAATTGTTGCCCAAGTGAGAAATATATGCAATAATACTATATAATTTAAATATAAACCTTTATTAAAATAATCAAAAAAGAAAAAGGACATGCAAGAGCATAGTATGTGGTGCATGATCTTCCATATTTATGGATCCTCCTATTGCCACTTTCAAATGGGCTTCTTGCAATCGTTGGTTGAACAATGGGAACCCCCCTTACAGGTATTGGGCTTGAAATGCAGCCCTGCAATCATCGGTTTAATCAATCACTGTCCCAATCTTCATCCAACTCTTTTGTTGTTCTTGTGCTTTTATTAGTATCCTTCACTTTCTTCTCTACTCTCCTTACTTGATAATCCTCTTCGTCACTACTCTTGTAATTGTATCTCCCTGCTGTTGGTGCTCCTACATCTTCCACAGCCTCTAATTCCCATATTGCACTTTCAGAAGCACCAAATGTATTCTCCGACACGACATCCTCCTCAACCAACTTTCTTCTCACGTTAACATCACCATTTCTTTTCAAATAATCATTGTTATCGGCCCTGCCAATCCTATGATGCTTCCCCTGTGCATTTCTTGATACCTCAAACTTGTCGTGAGCTTTGTCCAAATCGTTTGCCAATTTCTTCCTTTCTCCCCTCATGTAACTTAAGCCCTCTTCTTCATCACTGCTGCTTCGGAAATCATAATTCACTGCTCTTGATGCATTAGAGTCATGTTCTTCCTCAGAATCGGATTTCCACATCACAGTATCAAGATCGCTGAGCATATTTTCTGATTCAGTACCTTCGTCCACTATAATCTTTCTACTGCTAGCTTTTGTATTATTAGCTTCGCGATTTTTCTTAAAGCGTTCATCATTCTTGGCCCTGCCAAACTTATCTTGCTTCCCTCTGTCTCTTGTAGATACCTTGAACTTCTCAGGTTTTCCATCAGATTCATCAGCATCACTGTCGAGAACACTAGCATCCACAACATTACTAGAATCGCTTTCCTCTTCATCATCTTCATAATCACTATCATTCGGCCTCTGCTTGCCATGTGTATCCCTCCAACCCCTTGCCCTGGCGGTCCCATCGTCAGAGTCGTCATTTTCAACGTCTTCAGATCTTCTGTATCTCCCACCAAATTGTTCTTTGTTCCAATACCTTAGTCTGGTTTGTTCTTCTTTCTCAGCTGCTTCCTCAGCAGCCCACTCTCGTTCCGCTGCATCCTCAATCTCAGCTATGAATTTGTCTAACTCCTCCTCCTCCTCCTCATCAGGAGGGTCAGAATGTTTCAATTTATTATCAGGCTCTGCTGCTGACAGTTTGTCCCCACGGAAGACATAAGGACTTCCGTCCTTCTGATCAATTGCATTAAAGAATGAGGAAGCTACTCTCTGGATGCTTGCAATGGCAACTGGATCCTCAGGATTAACACCACTTCGGCGGAGCTCCTGTTCTATCTTCTTTATGTTAAGCTTCTGAGATTCAAGAGCTTGTTCAAATCTAGCCTTGAATAATGCCTGCATGTAAAGATGCAGAAGTTAATAATCCATTTTGATTGCCTTGTCCTTCAGTAGTACTTAATTGAGGTACCATAACAGGTTTTTAATTAATTTACTTTATCTCAGTGGAATGAGTTTGTAGTCTAAAAGTTTGAAGTAACTAGAACATACAAAAACAAACAAAAGGAAAAAAGTAGTCTAACATCTATATATAGAAACCCGTACACAATGCTCATGCAAAGACAATTCCATTTCCATCCACTCAAAACCCAAAAGTGGTTAGCCATCATTGCATGGTCTCAGTATCCGCTCAACTGAAGGGGATCTAAGTGCAATTCAAAGGATGAATTCTTATTTTTTTTTCTTTGGTATCAAGAGGAGGGACTGGGGTAGATCAAATCCATGGTAGGTTAAAAATTTCTGGGTTTTTAAAAATCTGGCTAACAAGGACATATCCTGGCAGATCTGTTCTCTGTGGCGAGAAGCATCACAACTAACAGAGCAATATGGTCAACCATGTTTGTTCCTTAAGCTACATATATAATTGTTTCTCCCAGAAAATGAAAGCTGAGATAATCAGAATATTATAAAGGGACACGCTTATTTTTACTCACCTTCCTTTTTGTAAGGGTATTGAAAGGAATCAAATTTTTGGGCTGGCGGTAATTTCTTCCACGAAACATGATGATTGTTTTCACATTATGTATGTTTATCACAACTCCACCACTCAGTCTTGCAAGCATAGTTGCCATTTCCTTGATTTTCTCTTTGGGGAAGTTATCACAACAAACTTGTACAGTCTCGTGAAACTTCCAGTGCAGATGCATATTCTGGACAACTCCTCCAAAGACCCCACGAACACCAACAGGAACATAATTTTTATTTCTGAAGCCAATCTTCTTAAATGCCTGAAGCTGCTCGAGGGTTAATAGCTCAGGGTCATGCCGGGGTGCTGGAAGATCTGGAAGCTCGTATTTTTTCAGCTTCTGTAGTAGCAATGCCACTTTCCTCTTAGCCTGCATAATTCACACATTCGATATAGTTATCTGATGAATGTGATACATCAAAAAGGTGATATAGTAAGCCAGGAATAAAGGAACGGAAACTTCAATACTACTTAAAGAAATAAACTAGTGGAAGTAATACTTCCTGAGTATTACATTAGTCCCTACTTAAGCATCTGACTTGAAATTTGCTAAGCATAAGAATCCTTTGACTCTTGTTTACTTTGATAACCTAACCTCTATTGCCTATTAATTCCAACAGAAGTATTGCTGCACTCTTAACATCCTAAAGTTTTCAAAACAATATTTAAAATACAATTAATACTGGTTATCAAAGCTCCGACTAGTTTGAAATATTTGAAATGACCCCATTATTTTCTTTTAGCTTACGAAGAGCATCATTTACATCTTCTACGAAAGAAAAAAAGCCATAACAAAACCAGTCAATTACAGCCATTTTTGTATATCTCGACTTGCAACACTTTAAACCAATTTAGAATGACCAATAATGTCGCAAAAAATAAGAAGCTGATAGCTGCAAACCAGAATTTGAAATAGAGGAGACAGATTTCTCAACCCACATGATATTTAACAATTAACTAAAAGGAAAAAGTAACATACTCTTTTGAGGTTGTAAATGAGCCTTTCACTTTCCGTCATGAGCTTCTTTTGAAGCTTTTTTGCTCTGCGAACCTCTCTTAGTGTTTTACCAGACTCCTTTTGCATCCGCTTTGCGACTTTGCTTCTCATGCTACTCCCTCTAGATGAGGACCCTCTAGATGTGGACATTGACCGGCACCACCCATCGAAGGGATTGCTCGGTGTAAATGAAGAAAAGAAACAATCTTCACTCGGTTTACTTGGCTGAACTACATTGCTTGAGAGGAGTTTCGCAGAGACATCTCTTAACGAGAAGACATTTCTGTAAACAATTGAAAAAAGAAGCTAAATTAGACAAAATCACCCACCCAACGTAAGAAGGATGCTGAGAATCCGTAGATGAACTGAAGTCAATAAAGAAAATAATATCCTTCTCCATGAATAATTGCTGGTAAGTATTAAAACAAAGGATTTAGATTTTCAAAACTGGTAAGTATTAATACAAAGGATTTAGATTTTCAAAATCAAATGGCTTTTCTGTTGAGGTCTATATGATACCGCAAGTAAAACAAATACGATAGGCTCAACTAGAAAGACTTGCTAGGAAATCAGCTTAGAGTAAATGGGAAAAACCAGAGAAATGATATGAAGGTAGACATTATGATTGGTTGCTGAGAAAATGATACGAAAAGAAATAAAAAGTTGAAATTTTGCATCTTCGATGCTTCACTATCTAGAACAGAAACACAAACACTCAGACTAGGCCCCGAGAAACTATTCCTTCGCTTTCTCAGCAACCAAGCAGAGAGTAAATTGAGAGAGAGAGAGAGAGAGAGTACTTGGAGGGATTGAATTGGAGGAGAGAAGAGGCGGACTTCAAGCAATGCCTGTTGAGGTTCCTCGTAGCGAACATTGATGGCTCAATCAAGCAGCGATGGACCTCAATCACTAATCGAGTACTTTGCTCGTTTCATTCCTTTCTTCCCACTCCAATGGTGACTCAGATTTTCAGGGTTTTAGGTTTTGGGTTTGGGGGTCGGGGCAGTTTGACTAAATTGGGTCTCTTCCCGGGTTTATTTACCAATCTAGCACTGCTTGACAATTTCGGCACATCCATTTATTATTAGTTCCCTAATTACTCTCTTCCCATTATTAAGACAAAATGTTCTTTCTTTGAGCAAACAAGATGTCTAATTGTTTTCTTTATTAAAAGAAAAAAAAATTGCTTTAAAATTTGGTTCATGTTTATATTTGTTACACTATCAATTTATACAGTTTATTCAAACATAATCCATATATATTTTTCTTTTTTTCTGGACTGATCATAGTTTACACCTTTCTAGTTGAGTTCATAAAAGTAGAAGAAGCAGGCAGGACATATAACAGATTACATGGATGAATTAAAATGATACTGAAAATAGAATCAGAAACCGTAGATAATAAATATAAACAATAAGTTCCAAATTACATAATACAACAGAAAATCTTTTTTTTTTTTTGGGGTTACTACCATGGTTTTCAAGTAGTATGGGAGCATCTCATGAGATGCTTTGACCTATACCATACAAGGAACAAACCACACTGATTACAAAAACCGTCTTAACTTATTCACTAATACACAGCACCAACTGTAATTAATACAACAACCAACCCAACTTAGGCACCTTCAAGGTGCACTAATAACACTAGGAGGAGCCAAGATAACGAGAGGAACACGAATTGTAGGCATAATTTTTGGTTCATCGGTCTGAGCTCTCAATGCTAATCTAAGTAGTAGACAGCTGAATGATTCTGATATATAACTCCATGGCTACATGCCTTGGCACTTCAAAAGCTCGGAGAACTTGCAGAGGGCAAGGGGAAAATCCGTGCATCTCCAAAAGCAAATGAAATTTCCTTGTTGCCATTGAAGAATATGTAGGTAAAAATGCCATTTAAATGGACTCTGGGATTGGACAAAATTGGGAATTCCATGTTATTCCCGGAAGCTCTTCCATCATCGCTCATAACCTGTCTAGCCATCCAAGTAAACTGTCTTGGGAACAAAACTGCAAATCCTGCATCATATAAATGGGAGTTTTAGATACAATATTTCTTCAGAAAACTAACAAAGCAGATGAAGAAATAGTAAGCAGGAAGCTTACAGCAAGCTGGAAATCTGGTGGAGTACCAAGATCAATGTTCTCAAAGTCACCAATTCCACATGATGTGCTGCTATTTCCAGTCACCCCGTATATATTGCTTGGAAAGTCAGTGCTAGATATGCGATCCGCGAACGAACCATTTAGAAGAGTGGAAGAATCAAAAGTCTCCTTGCATAACAAGGTGTCCTCCAAGCAATCTAAATCACAGTTTTCATCAGCCTGAGATTCGCCTGCCAACCAGTTATTGTCCCCTATATTGTCCTCAAACTGAGTACCAGGCACCAGCTCTGCTTCCTATTCCACAAAATAGATTTGTAAGGATCCAACACACTAAAGGGTTTTAGGAAAAAAGCAAAAATTGTAAAGTTCCATCTTACTTTCCACAGCTTAGAAGATGGGCTACTTGTCTTGGGTGGAATTTGAAACTAGTTCTATGAGTTGTCATATTCTCTTTTCTGTTTACAGCAGTATGGTTCTTTTTTCTTTTTATAGGCAGGGTCTTGGTAAAAAGTTAACCAATGAGGTATATAAAAGATCACTGACACACAACACAATGATGCATACAAAAGTTGACCAACCTTGGCAGATGAGTGTAACATATCTTCATCAGGAACATCATCACACCCAACAGAGTTCCCTGGTCTGGGTGGATTTGGAGCACTTGTTATGGGGGTCCTTGGACTAGTTCCAAGTGCATTGACATCGTCTTCAATGACCAAATTGTTGTCATTCGTTTCTGACTGCTTATGCTGTTGGTAGAATATCTTTGAAACCACATATTCACCTTCTTTCTCACCATCTTCAGTTCCCAGGTGATACTGATGCATCACCCAGTTAGACTTATCTGCTTTGGAACCTTTCTTTGAACTTTTGTATAGGACCATGATCTTCTTACAGCCCTTCTGAACTCCATTTTCCATTATAGGCTTGGTCTTACCTGTTTTGTGCCAGCGGACATGCTCTGCAGCCAAGCTCCGATGACAGTCAACCTTGCGGCGCTTCCGGTGACCAGTAGCATATGCATTAATTGTTTTATGGAAGAAATGGAAGCTGCTTCCATCATTCTTTGAACCTGAAACAAAACCGAGTACAATGATCTTAACCATAGTTCAATTGATTCTAGTTTTATGAATATGCGCCTAAACCAAATAAGTTTTCCATACATAATGAAATTTGAAACTTATAAGAGAAGCACAATGTATGAGAACAAAGAGTGTTACACTCATTAAGTTCCATCCTTTACACAAAAGAGGGAAGAAAACGTTCCAAGTATACATTCAATTTGGTCCAGTTGTCAGTTGATAACATTTTTCAGTACCAGGACCAGTGTAAAGATGAGAACATGGAATCAGAAATGTGAAGCTTGGCAGCTCCTTACCAGGAAGGTTTGCTGGATGATCGTAGTAAATTCCATTGTCCCCATCAAGTGTTGGGATGAACTCATCGATAAACATGTGCGGTTTTGAGTTTCCAACACCACACTTAGCTGCCAAGTGTTCTAGGAGTTCAGCATCAGATGGATCGAACTTCACACCAGCTGGCAAGCCAGGCCATTCTGATAAAACCTACACAAGCGGAGTTCCAGAAGATACACTTTCAAGAGAACGGAACCGCATGCATCAATAGGTGTCCAATCACTTCAATAAATAAAAGCTTACACCTTTGCCTATAAACTTATGCTCAAAGCAATTTCTAATTTATTGAAAAATGAAATTCAGATGAAATTCATTGTTAAAAGAAATGGTACTTGAAAGAGATTTTTGGAGATATAGGATTGTCTGTTTTGATATGAAAAACAACAAATTCAGACTACAGAGTCATCCTTTCATGCATGCTTAGTCTTGTAATCCCAGCAAGATAATCATATTTAAAGAAGAAAAAAACAAGATAATCATTTGAATACTGAATAGAACTGAAATTCCAGCTTACATCACTGTTATCTATAACAAAATGGCAATTTGGGCAATCACGATTCGCCCCACAGTCTTTGATTTGATAAGCAGACGATCGAGCAGCATTTTTCACTTTGTTTGCCAGTCCTCTGCTGTTAATCAGCCAAGCCCTACAAAAACAATAAATATGCTGTGAGCCAAAAATTTCATAACAGGAACCATTTTTAGCTAGAAAGCTAAAGAAGCTGTGATCAACACTTAAAAAGCTTTTCAAAATGCAAGCTTTAAATGAAAGATTTAGTTAGAAACTTTCTACATCATCCACTCCAGAGTAGAAAACAACCTTAAATTCATCCCCAAACTTTCTACATCGTCCATTACACTTAAAAAGGTGAAAAAGGAGAAAGCTGATATGCGTCTCTCAGAAAAGGAAAAAAAAAACCCAAATTCAGATGAAAAATGAACAAAACCACTGAATCAAGCGTCTGCATATGTCATATTTCATTCGACAATAAAAATGTTTCCTTTTTTACCGTACATTAGAGAAAAAAAGACACTTGACACGAGCACATCTATCTCAAATCAGGAAACTCCCATGAAGTAAAAATCTAGACGGAGATAGAAAGAATCTTCCTCTCAAATGGGTTTCCCTTAAAATCGCCACAAATTAAACCCAGGCGCTAAATTTCAGTCCAAACCCAGCATTTGAACACTTAAAAAGAAAACAAACTGCGGCACCGTCTTTTTATCCGAACCAAACCCAGAAACTAAAACCCAGAGAGAAAAGGAAGAAAGACAGAAGATCACATAGGTTGAAGAATATGGATATTTTCGTATTGAGGTTTCTCAGTCTCCAATCAAGAATGTGAAGAAAACAAAAGCCTAAAATTCGTTCATTTTATTAAATTATATATCCGTTTATATTCTCCTCAGTCTGAGTCGAGGGCTCTAACCTTGCCATTTCTTCGAAGTTGTAGACGATGTTACAACGAAGCACATTAAGAAAGAGAGAGAGAGAGAGAGAGGAAAGAGAGATAGAGAACAAAAAATAGAGCTTTGTGTGTTTTTATAGCAAAACCCCAACCCCTTCTCCACCGGACTAAGTTAAAGTGGAGGAGAGAGAGTGTGCGAGCGGGAAAACCCAGCTTCGGAGCCGAGGAGCCGTTGGTAGGAGGCTTGGAGACCGAGCCTCAGCTTCGGGTGTAGAATCTTTCGTTGCCGAGGCCTTCCGCTGTGGAGCTTTCTTGCGGAAGGGGTATACTGGTAGGGACCACGGTTGACTGAAGCGGTTCCGAGGCTTTGGCTCGGTCAACGAAGCTGAGTTTCTTGTCGAGTAAATGGCCAGCTTCCGGAGCTTCGAAAACCGTGTAAAGTGCCATTATGGTAAATTTGTGTCGGATATCATGACAGGACTACCGTGCTCCCCAAGCTAAACAAGGAAACGTTTTGGGACTTTTGTGAATTGGCTCTTTTGCCCCTATTCTTAATTCCAGTAATGACTACATTCGATGTGACTCTTTGTCTTTTCGTTCGTTCGAATAATGTTTATGTGGCAAGCCTTTTGATGGGGATATGTATAATATTAACAAAACCCTAACATCAACATGTCGTTGTAGTATAGTGGTAAGTATTCCCGCCTGTCACCCGGGTGACCCGGGTTCGATCCCCGGCAACGGCGCTCTTACTGTATTTTGTAAGACTTTTATTTTATGACGGAGAGCGCTTGGCTTTGCCCTTGATTAAAGACTGATGATATCATGATATCAATTTGTTTAGGTGTGAAACAAAACAAATTTCAACACAAAGATCTCACATAATCATTTCAACACAAATATCTCACATAATCATTTCAACAAGAAGAAAAGGCAACAAAAATACATTATTTGTTACAGAGTTTGACCTCAATGTCAACGGTCGTAGAGATTGAGATTATGATATGCTCAAAAGAGATTTCTTGAATAGGAGCAAAAGGCTTTTGGATGAAACCTTCTTTTTACAATGTCACTACATCACAGCAACCCCAACTCCAGAACTCTAAATTCCTTTTGATTTCATCTCCTTCAGACCAAACTAAAGTCAAGGCCTATCCCAACAATTTGACACTAACATCAGATGGTAGGGCAAGGCAGCTTCCTTTGGCAAACTTACCCCCTAAGACTAGTAGTTTAGTAAAATTTAAGGGCATGATTTTATTAAGCTTTCCTAAGAGTAATATGGGAAACCTCCAAAGCCAAGATTATGGCTTTAGCGGATCAATAACACTGGCTAAAGCAGAAGGAAAAACCTTTAGGCTTCTCTTCCACGTTGGTTTTAGGGGTTTCACCCGAGTCATCGTGCGTAGGCATCAAAGAACTAGTACCAGGCGACTCTGGTGGCAGTACAGCGTTCTCGGATCTGAATATCCGTTGGGGGATAGCAGGTTCCGGTGCTGAAATAGTAGAGAGATAATGCAGCAGCATCTGTATAATTTGGGTAAAGTTGGGCCGATCATTTGGATCCTCTTTCCAACATGAAGTTACGATCAAAGCCAAATCCTCAGGAAGGTTTTCAGCACTGGGCCTCACATTCTGAGACAATTAAGTATAACCTCAGATTATGATGCCAAAGAAGCACTAAGTTATGAATAAGACGATTTTGTTACCTTAAAAGCAGCTGCATATGCTGCCTGTAGATTCGACATGCCTTCAAAAGGCAGCTTATTATGTATGAGTTCCCACAATACAATTGCAAAGCTGTAAGCATCCACCTTATGATTGTAATGCTTCTTCTCTCCATGTCGTAATGTAACTGTGCTGTAAAGCTACCACCAAATAGAAAGGGGGATAATTAGTTTTCTGATACAAAAGGCACACACTCACAACACACACACATAAGAAACAAATTTTGAACTTTACAATGATAAAATACCGTACCTCAGGAGCCATCCACCGATATGTCCCAGTTTCGGCGGTCATCATCTCTGTCAACGACTCTTCTCTTGCTAAGCCAAAATCCGCAAGTTTAACTGTTTTATGGTCTGCGGTCAAGATCAAATTCTCTGGGAAGAGGACAGTACAAAAGTTTGAGATTGTGGAACAAACACAGTTTTTCAGGAATTAATTTTTCCCTACCAATAGTTACATGTCTCTATCCGTTTCCCTAAGGCCATCCATTCATTTAAGCATTAGCATTAGCTGCATCGCAAATACCTATGTGCCTGGGAAGTCAGAATTTACCCAGGGAGGCTGGAAAAGCCAAAGAAATGAGAATTAGGCGAAACAAAGCAATTGCTTTGATCACCCTGAAGTTAATTCTGGTACACAAGCAAGAAGTCTTCAATTACATTGAATACCAAATTATCAGCTACCTAATGCTAAATAAAATAATCATGCTCACAATGGACTTCACTAAACCTTCTTACAGTTAAAGATTAATATGTTAAACAATCAACCAAACCATATACCAGGTTTCAGGTCCCGGTGAATGATTCCATGGGAGTGTAAGCATTCCATAGCACGGGCAATATCAAGTGCAAACCCAACAGCCACACGTATGTCCAAGCACCTTGGCCGCATACTGAACAAGTATTTGCGCAAAGTCCCGCCCAGAAGAAGCTCAGTCACTATGACCATGACAGGTTCTTTGCAGGCACCAATGAACTGGTAATACGCAATTACAGAAGCCCCATCAGATATTGCAAATATGCCGATTTATCATGCAGAAGTACTTATTGAAAATGAGACAACCTTCACTAAATTTTTGTGCTGCACTTTGGACAGCATTGCCACTTCCCTTGCAAACCGTGATTCTCTCTTGGCAATCTCCTCTGGAGTTTCTCCTCTATGAACAATTTTTACAGCAACAGTTTGATTCTTATATCTGGAACAAATAACAACAACAAACCAGCAGATTAAGATCACAACAGAACTTTC